TAGCTAGTATTTTTTTTATCAATATAATTTCTGATCCATTTATTTCATTAAATATGTAGCTAGTATTTTTTTTATCAATATAATTTCTGATCCATTTATTTCATTAAATATGTAGCTAGTATTTTTTTTATCAATATAATTTCTGATTCATTTATTTCATTAAATGTATGAAATGAGTTTTGAATTTTCTTAATGTCAAAAAACCACAATTGAAAATGCTAGCACATTCATTTTTCTTAGTCCAACCACAATGAAATGCGACCAGCTTGCTAGTTATGTCCTCTAAATTGCGTTTATTTAAGACGTGGCAATTGGCTCAGACCAATAAAATAAATAATAAAAATGACTTTTATTTTATTGTCAAGGTTGCCTTACCTAAGAGTTTGCCTAATTACCTGTCATCATAATTGACACTCACATCTCAGCATAATTTGAGTTTCTCACTTTTCCAACATTATTAAAATAAAGCATTTGTAGAAAAAAGTCATAAATAGCTGTATGACGTTGGTGATCGTGTCTTGAACATTCTAGAAAGTTGTCCACTTGTGCTATTCCAAAAATCAGGAAACCATTTTTTTAATTCCCATTCTTTAATCTTTACTTTTTTTTTCTAAGAAACTGGGTTTGGGATTCAATATATTTAATGATAAAATAATTTTGTTGCTGCTAGTAGTGCACTTAATTTTCTTGATTCTTCTAAATTAATTAGAAAATTAATTTTTTTTATCTTTCTACATTAATCTTTATTTATTGATTAAAAAATTGAGCTCAAAAACCCACCAAACATATAATAATAATAATAATAATAATAATCATAATAATAAATTATTAATTTATTTAGCTTAATACTATATTGTTTACTCAGACTATTTAGGGCTAATTAAATTATTTTTAATATAAAAAATATTCAAATATTATTAAATATAATTTGACTAAAAAAATTCAAGATATATATTTTTAATATTAAAATAATAATATATTAAATTAACTCAGGTCAACTTGTATTAACCTGTCAAATTTATGACCCGAGTTACAAAATCATAATAACCCCATATAAAGTAAGTCAAAACAAATTATAAAATTTAATTCTCAATCAATCTAATATTAAATTATAAATTTTTTTAAAAAATTAATTAAAAAAATAAATCAAGTTAACTTGTTAAATCCATGACATGAGTTATAAGGTGAGGATAATCAAATAAAAATTAAATCAAAATAAATTATGAAACCTAGTTCCCAATCAATCAAATGTTAAAGAATAAAATTTAAAAAAATCAATTAAAAAACACAAAAAAAATCCAAGTCAACCCTATTTAACTCGTCAAACATATGATTCAAGTTATAATACTGAGATAACCTCATACGAAAAACAAACCAAAAAGATAACTTGAATCAACCCCAGTTGCTCTGACAAACTTGTATTTGAAAAAAATAAAGCACAATTCCCAACACATTTATTGTTGAAAAAAAAATTAAAACAAAATCAGTTTATAAAAAGAACACAATAAAACAACTCAAGTCAACTCAAGTTAACTTGTAAAACTCGTGATCGGGATAATGAAACCTGGATAACTTAATATAAAGTAAACAAAATAAATTATGAAACATAATTTTAAATAAACATGATGTTGAAGAATAAAATTAAAAAATAATTAAAAAAAACTAAATCAACCGAATTAACCTACTAAATCTACAACTTGAGTTATGATTTTGTAATAAAATAAACTGTAAAAATTTATGAAATTTAATTTCTAATTAATTAAAAATTTAAAGATAAAAAATATAAATTCAACAAAAAAAATTA